CCCCCAGCTGCTCATGTGATCACAGTGCTGCCTGCAGCAAGATCCGCTGGGTACTCAGCGCTGTCCTTAGGTCTTTGTTCTGATTGATGGTTTGTTGTTGTTGTTGTTTTTGCGGAACCAGGGATTGAACTCATGCTCTTGCGCTTGCCAGGGAAGCATTTATTCTACTGAGCCATCTCCCCCGCATTATTGATGGTTTTAAACCAGGTGTGCTGGCAGACCCTGTACTCCCAGTCCTCAGGGAGCTGAGGCAGGAAGGTCCCTGTGAGTTCCGGGCCAGCCTAGGCCACACAGTGAGTTCAAAGATGGGCTGAACTGTGTGGCAAAACCTTTCTCAAAAAACAAAAACAAAACAACCCTACAGTGTCACTCTTGCATGGGACCCCAGCACCTAGTCCCTCGTTCAGAGCTCTGGCTGACTCGAGGCGATGTTTATGCCCTGCAGGCTCTTATCCCATGTGGACCTCTGAGGAGCCACGTTCTCAGGACACCGTGGGATTTTGCCTCCAACTGGTCTTCTCAGCATGGGGGTCCCAAGGTCCAACAGCGGACACCTTCTGGGCTCAGAGCGAGCACAATCCAGTGTGGCACCTGAGCAAGCCCAGAGGGATCAGCCCGGTGTGGGCAGAGCTGCTCCCGACCCATGTTAACCTGTCTTCTGGGGTCCTTCTGATTGAGGATCTAGGTTACTGTTTTCTGTTTTTCTTGTGGGGTATTTTTGTGGTTTTGAGACAGAGTCTTGCTATGCAGCTGAGGCTGGCCTTGACTTTACTTTGTAACTGAGGCTGGTCTGGAACTCACAACAATCCCCCTGCCTTAGCCTCCCGAGTGCTGGGAGTACAGGCGTGGGCCTACACGCCAGTAGGTCTTTGTTGAGAAAATTTATTTTCTCATTTCAAGCCTAAGCCCTGGCCCTCTGCAGAGTAGTTTGATGATAGATGGACAAACAAACACTGGACAGAAGGAAACCAACATGGCTGCAAAACACAGATCTGAATGTTACTCTGCTTACTTTTTTTTTATTTAGTACAGGGTCTACAGGGTCTCACCATGTAGCTCGGACTCATAGTAATCCTCCTGTTTCAGCTTCCCAGTTGCTGGGATTACAGGCATGTGCCACCACACCCAGTCTCAATTGCCATCTCTGCTCGCTTCCGGGGGCAGGACCTGCACAGCAGGGCTAGGATCTAACCCCTGGCTCCTGCACCTGCCTAAGAGGTGCTTTAATCCACTGAGCTATCTGGCCAGCCATTCTGCTGACCTTAGAGGCTGGACTACAACAGAAAGCATAGATCTAAGATGTGGAAGGGGAGGAAAAGAGGCTAAGAGCCTGCATATTCTGTGACTTAGGATTGGGAGAAGTGCCGCACACTCCACAGGCAGTGGCTGGGCGAGCAGAGCCCTCCAGAAAGGGTGGGCGCTGTCGCCCGGTCCTGAGTCAGGGGCTGTGATGTGGTCTCCCCACCACCGGAGCCAGCGCAGTGACAGTGACTGCAACATTCTCTTCCATGTTTTTTTCTGACCTGGATTCTCTTTGTTTTTTCAAGAACGCCTGTCAGACGCTTCTGAAACGCCTGGAGCCTATCATTAAGAAAAATCCAGAAGGCACCTGGGAAGACTGGGTGAGCAGCCCCACGTGTGTCACCTCAGAGAAGGAAGGTGTGGCTAGGAGGGCGTTGTGCAGGGCGCTGTCACTCCTCAGAGACAGTGTCCCCGAGCCTTCCCAGGGACACAGCTCTCCTGCTGGCAGGAGCTGAGAAGTCTACTCCAGGGCAAAACCCAAGCAAGGGAGGAGAGGCCACACGGGAAAACACAAGGAACGAGGAGGAAGGGAACAGTATGAAGACCCCAGGAGGCTGCATGCTCCGTGCTTAAGTAGGGAAGGACAAGGAAAGACTGACTCTTGCTAAGCTTCACCCAAGAGCGATGCCCTGGGTGGGGAAGTGAAAAATGAGAAGGCCTGGTGGCAATGGCCGTCTCGAGGGGAAGGCTCATTTAATCCAACTTCACAACACACCAGATCTGTTTCACTAGAACAGCTACCTCACAACACACACACACACACATACACACACACACACACCACCACCACCACCACCACCACCACCACCACCATACCACACACACACTGGTGTTTTAACACTTAGAAATGAAGCTTCATCCCATTGTAGTGGTACACACCTGTAATCCAAATGAAGCTTCAGGGCCGGGAAGATGGCTCAGTGGAATATGCGGTTCCCTGGCAAGCACAAGGGCCTGAGTTCAATCCCCAGTTCCGAAAAAAAAAAAAAAAAATGAAGCTTCATCCCAGTCTGGTGGTACACGCCTATAATCCCAATGTTTGGGAGGCTGAGGCAGGAGGATGGATGTGAGTCCAAGACCAGCCTGGACTGCATAGTAAGACCCTGTCTCTAAAAGACTGAACAAATAAATGACTGATGGGCTTCACTCTACCCCGTGGGTATGCAGCAGGGTGGTGTCTTACACTTCTTCAATCCAGACCTGGAACTCCATCAAAAGAGGACCACCAGCCCACTGCCAAGGAAGAAGTGGCTGTGCCACGTAGTCCCTGGCAGCAACGCGCCAGCGGCAGTGGTCAGACCCGAGGCCGAGAGGTAACATGTGCTCAGCTTCTCCTATCAAACGGTATGTTCACTTTTACTGTGTTTATTCTGCAGGTAGAAGCAGCCTTTGAACAAAGAATCAGTCTCTCGGCCACTGGATACTTCAGGTAAAAATTAAAATGAAAATGACATCTCAGCCCAGTGCGGTGGCGCACACCTGTAGTCACAGCACTCAGGAGGCAGGAGGATCACTGTGAGTTCAAGGCCAGCCTGGGCTACAGTGGCAAGACCCTCTCAAGAAAGGAAAAGAAACAGCTGTAACTTACAGGCCTGCTCTCTCTCTTCCTCTATCACCAGATCTTGGCCTTTAGGGAAGCTCCTTCCTAGGCCCATGGGACAGAGGGTGGCAGCCACACACATCTGCATAGTTCAGGGTGTCTCAGTAAATCCGTACAAATGGAATGCAGCAAAGAGAAGAGCTGGCTTGTCTAGAAGTGGCCGGCATTACTTTTACACTGTGATGAAGCAAACCCCCAACTACGCGTGCACAGGGGGACGTAGAGGGGAGAAAGGAAAGGAAGGGCTAACGTGCCCTGGCGCGGCCCAGAATGAGCTCGGGCTTCCCGCGCTGTCTCCCAGGCAGGGCGCAGCCAGCCCTCAGAAGGAGCTCCTCTACTTGTTCCAGCAACATGCTGGCTTTCGCCCTTTCCTCCACCCCTGGCATGGGTCTGCCTTGGGTCTACTTTGGGCCTTTGGCTGGCCTGGCCCATGGAGTCCCTCAGGAACCCTCAAGGGAAGTGGCTGAGTTTTCCAGGATGTGGACCTGGGCAAAGCCCACACTTCAGACCAGCAGTGCCAGCCAGCCGAGCCAGCACAACCCGCAGCACAAAAACGTCCTCTCACAGTGGACAGGAGTGAAAACAGGCTGGGCTGTAACTGCAAGGTCACAGATTAAAATGAATTTGAAAGTCCACTGAAACCAGGCACAGTGCACAGGTGTGATCCCAGCCCTGGGAGGCTGAGGCAGGAGGATGGAGACTGGAAGGCTGGCCTATGCAGCGCACCCAAGGCTGCTGAGACCACAGCAAGAGCCAGTATCTAATTAATAATAATAATAATAATAATAATAATAATAATAATAATAGACATCCTCTACTCTGCCTAAGGACTCCCTTTTTCCCCTCAGGGGCTACAAGGCCTTCATGGATTGGGAGAAGGGCGAGGGAGAGCCCTTCCCTTACTACGTCTTTGGGGCTGCCTGCTCGGAGGTTGAGGTTGACTGCCTGACAGGCGCGCACAGGGTAAGTCCCAGGCGGCCAGCGAGAGTGCGGCGGCTGTCCCAGGGCCACACACCAAGCTCACCAGGAATGAGGTTCTCCCACCTCTGGGCCAGAGACCCAGCTGGGAAGGCTGGCTCTGAGAGGCCCATGGAGGGTGCTAGGTGAGCTGCCCAGGATAGCCAAATTCCATAAGCGTATTAACATTTTTATCACTTTCAAACAACAAAACTATTTTTCAAAGTTTTAGCCAGAGGATGGGCTGGTGAGATGGCTCAGTGGTCTAAAGCACCTACTTAGAACAAGCTTAGCAAAGCACAGGGACCACGGTTCAATCCCCCAGCACCACATGCCAGCCAGCCCCGCCCCCTGGTGGGCTGAGCTGGGACACACACACACACACACACACACACACACACACACACACATAAATAAATAAATAAATAAATAAATGTTTTTAAAAAAAAGTTTTAGCCAGAGAAACAACTTATACCTGCCAGAGTCCGTGTTCACTAATCGGAAGGTCAGGCAGTTTACCAAATGGTCCTGAGCAATGAACAGCAGGAGGCTGGGTGAGTTTTCTCCAAAGTCAGGTATGAGGCAGGCACCGCTGACCCTGAGAAAGGCCTTAGGACAGAGGCCAGAACACAGCTCTGCACTTGCTGTTTGGCCCAAGAGGAGGCAGGGAGTCACGGTGAACCAAGGTTAGCAGCTTGCACCGTGCCCGCACAGAAGTGTGAGTGTGCCAGGGTCTCTCAGCCAGGAGGGCACCAGAAATCTTAAACAGAACCTTAAAAAACCCGAGTGTAAAGTTGTTAAGAATTCCTGACACAACACCCCACACACCTCCAAACTACCTGGCGCCACCCTGCCCAAAACAGCACAGACTGGGGCGGCACGGACAGGCTTTGCTGACGCGTAAGTCCTGTCAGTCCTGTGGCCACTGGGGCTGGCCAGCATCTCCACAGTGAAACACCAGGAGAGGTTATTTCTGAAGACGGCCTGGACTCTCTCCGGCTCCACGTCAGGCCCACGGACACCTGTCCCCTGTCATGCAGACCAGTTTTAAGCAGCTGGCTCGTGTGAGCATAGTCACTGCTGATTCCTTCAAAACCCGGTTTCCTAGTGGTTGTCTCGTGGTGCCAGGGTGCCAATGCCTGTGCCACTGGGCTCGCTGGACAGGAACCTCTGCCGAGGTTTCGAGTCAGCTCCTCTAGGGCTCCACCCAATGGCCCGGGGCCAGATTTAGCAGATGAATCACAGACCACCCTGAGAAAGCCAAATTTCAGGTAAGCAATAAGCAATTTCCCAGTACAAATGCACTCCGTGCAGCCTCTGGAGCAGGAGGGCTCCATCTGCCAGTGCCACCTGAGGCCTCAGGAAGGCCAGTGCCTCCAAATAAACCGCACAGGGCCCTCCCAGGTCGCATGCACCAAGGAGCTTCCATCAGGCCTCCCGGGCCTGCCACCTCACATTGCCAGTTAAAGAATCTTGACTCTTGAAATAACATCCAGAAGCCAGGGCAGGGCACAGCAGCTCCCGGGACGGGCAGGCTGGAGCCTCATCTACAGCTGCCTCCCGCAGGGCTGGACACGGACAGGCAGGTACAGCCCTGAAAGGCTGGCTAGAAAGCTGGAGCAGGCACTGAGGAGGCCCGGACACTGTTAGGAGGCCATGCCTGCGAACGGCAGCCCTGGAAGGTGGGCTGAGACACACCCTGCTTCCCACACACACAGACACACACACACAGGCGCACATCCACGCCCAGCACAAAGCCATCCAGATGCAGCTTAGCACCATGCCAGACCTCACACACCCCAACTCTTGTGGCCATGCTGAGCACACTGACCACACCCATGGCTACTGGGCCCTCGCACTCCAGGATGACATCAGAGCAGGCAGGCTTGTGGTCACACGTCACAGGCTGCTCCCACCCGTCGTTTCCCCATGTGACCCCCAGGAGTCACACCTGGCCACACTGAGCTGGGTTCCTGCTGGCTGCGCTTGGCACCAGTCCTGGCAAGATCTGACAGGTCTGAGCAGGGTTGGCCCCTGTGGGCTCTGGGGGCACAGACTGGGAAGTGGCACAGGAAGCAGCACCCCCGTGCTGATGGGGAGCCACTGTGCATTTTGACAGAAACTCAGGACAGACATCGTCATGGACGCTGGCTGCAGCCTGAACCCCGCCCTCGACATCGGGCAGGTAAGTGTGGGCTCCAGGGCGCCACCCTGAGGGCCAGGGCGGCTTGGCCTCTGTCACAGCTCACACCCCCCAGGTGGAAGGCGCATTCCTCCAGGGCGCTGGCCTGTACACCTGCGAGGAGCTGCTCTACTCTCCTGAGGGCGCCCTGCTGTCCCAGGGGCCTGGGGAATACAAGATCCCCACTGTGGCCGACGTGCCTGAGGAGTTCAACGTGACCTTGCTGCCGTCATCACAGACCCACCGCACCCTCTACTCATCGAAGGTGCGTGCCTGAGCCTGTGGGCAGCGCAGTGAAGGAAAGTGCCCAGGGGAGGGCTAACTGCTCTCCAGACTAGGAGAAGCAGCTTCAGAAGGACAGATGGAGGGCGGGCCAGACAGCTCAGCGGATTAAAGCCCCTGCTTAGGCAGATGCAGGGTTGGAGGTTCAAACTCTGCCTGCCGAGCCATGGCGGCCCAGGCCCTGGGGCGCGCTGCTCCAAGCACTTGGAAGGTTGAGACAGGACTGTGCTGTAAGTTCCAGCCCAACCTGGGCTACACAGTGAATTCAAGGCCAACTGAACTGCATAGCAAGACCCTGGCTCAAAAAAATTAAAAACAAGGGCTGGTGAGATGGCTCAGTGGTCTAAAGCACCTACTTAGAACAAGCTTAGCAAAGCACAGGGACCGCGGTTCAATCCCCAGCCCCACATGCCAGCCAGCCCCGCCCCCTGGTGGGCTGAGCTGGCTACACACACACACACACACACACACACACACACACACACATAAATAAATAAATAAAAATTAAAAACAAAACAGACCTTACTCTGGGGAGCTCCCCAGACACCTGGCCCTTGTGCCGTCCGCGCCCAGGCTCAGCCCTGCCTCACCAGCCAGGCCACATCTGGGCCCAACTCGGGTGCAGCAAAGCAGCACCACAGCCCACATCTGGCCAAGGTGTCTTCTTTGTCAAAATTTTACAGAGAAATACAAGTACTGGAAGCCTCTTGAGCAGTCAGACGACGTGCCATTTTGACTTTGTTCCCAGGAGGAAGCAGTCAGACGGCTCTGGAAAAGGGCCGCCGTGCTACAGGGAGGTGACACTGCTGCGCACCTCTGTCCTCCCTTCGCCCACGTGCACAGGGGCGCAGGCACCTGGCCTGGAGTCAGATAAGGCTCCTGGTGGAGCAGTCCCCACTACGAGGCTCGGTCCTCCAAGCACGCTCCGTCACCACTTTGCACACACCCGCTGCTCTCCCATACACAGACTTGAGACAGTCAGCGGACACCAGAATGTTACCAGCACTCAGGCTTTACAGTTGTCAGTCACCAAACAGACGGGAGACCACGTGGGGCACACGAGTGAGCACAGCCTGGCCAGCCTCCTGCAGCCTGCCGCCAGGTCAACCCTTCTGAAACCACTGTGCTTCCCGCAGGGCCTTGGGGAGTCCGGGATGTTCCTGGGGTCATCGGTGTTCTTTGCCATCTGTGATGCAGTGGCTGCAGCACGCAGGGACAGAGCCCTCCCCGAGGACTTCACAGTGAGAAGCCCGGCCACACCAGAGCGGGTCCGCATGGCCTGTGAAGACCGCTTCACAGAAATGGTAAGGAGCGGCCGTCTCTCCTGCAATGGCAAGCAGAAACACCAAATGACACCCAGGAAACAACATGTCCCTGGGCGCTGAGCGGGATCACTCCCAGAACGCCACCCTGCCTCTGGTGGTCCAGGGCTCCTATGGGACAAGCAAGCAGGAAGCGCAGAGCAGGATGGCCTGCCCCTTGGGGCCTGGCTTCTACGGAGTCAGTCACAGCCACCATCTGCGTGTCACAGTGCCAGCTGTGTGTCACAGCAACCAGCCATTTTTTTTTTATTTTATTTTTTTAAAAATTTTATTTATTTGTGAGGGGGGGCAGCTCAGCCCACCAGGGGGCTGGTGCTGGCTGGCATGTGGTGCTGGGGAATTGAACCGCGGTCCCTGTGCTTTTAGCTTGTTCTAAGTAGGTGCTTTAGACCACTGAGCCATCTCACCAGCCCCCGACCAGCCATTTCTAAGAGACAGGAGCAACCAGAATTGGAACAGGAACTATTGCCTGCAACTAAGAAACTGAAGCACACAGATGGGGGAGGGGGTTTCTGCGACATTTGCCCCCTTTCAGTTTCCCCAGAAAACCCTTGCTGGGCGTAGCATCTGCGCTCCTCTGAGGTGGGGCACAACTTGAAGCAGCACAGAGCGTTCCTGTCTGCTCTGCAGTCACTCTGGCGAGGGAACGAGGCAGGATCTGACCTAGAAGGGCGTGTACGGTGTCTGCGGTGCTCATCAGGTCTTGGGGCAGCCATCCATCAGGTCTGAGGCAAAAACCAGAGCTAGCAGGGGCTGGGGAGGCGGGGCCTGGGTAAGCAGCCTGAAAAGACACAAAATCAGGGGAACAGACGAGGCGCGAGCCTGTGGCTGATGTCCTCGGGCTTCAGCTGTGCGTGGACTGCGCCGTGTGCAGAGACCAGAGCAGAGTTTCGAGCACGTTGTCCTTCAGAGCGAGCCTGGGAGGAGCTGTCCAGGTAAATTTTTCAGCATCTCTAAGGCTGGATTTGTGAAACTTGCAGCGGTAGCTAATACGTACCGGGCTATACGTGTGTGCAGAAATGTCTACGGATGCAGCTCATTTCTACAAGCTATTTTTAAAACTTTTTTAGGGCTTTGTGGTCTGTGTGCTGTAGGTTGTTTTCACTTAATCTACTTTTGGAGCTACAAATGCAGGCCCATTGCCACTGCCAGGGTCAAATGCAGGCCCTGCCTAGAGAAGATTTTGGACAGCAGGACCCTGCAAACTTCTATTGTCCTGTCGGCTTGCCAAGTGGATGCCTTGGTTGTTTCT